TATCTGTCAATAATTCCACGGTCATACATCGTTCAGTGGCGATAGAAAACACATTTCGTTTGATACCATTGTTAGAATTTGAATGAACGAGGAAACACACTCTGGTTCCGAACGCTACTTTTCACCGAAGCTACTAAAGTGTTCGGCTTCGAAATTATTTTTCATCCCGATCTACATCAAAGACGGTCAGATGCACGTTTTTCTTTCTTAGATACACGGCATGAAAATGGACGTCTCGTGTCAAAATCTGCTTGCTTATAAAAGCAGTGTAATCAGTTAAATTTATCCTATAAAATATGGAGAATTAATGGCTTTTCTTGATCAAAAACACAATAGTACTGAAGAAGTAAAACACACATGCAATGAAATAAAAGAACACCCATTTAAAAGGAGTAAACCCGGTAATCATACAATGTACTAGTATACAGCAGACATGAGAGAATGTTCATTCAAAACCGGGCGTGTTAATTCTGCGCTCTAATATGGAACGGTTATAACAGGGAAGAAAATCTGGGTAGTCTTCCATAGATGTGCTGTTATAGTGGGGAAAAAGCGAATTTGAACACCAACGTTTGACACGTTTCTAGAGTCATCTGTCCAGGTTTTTCAAACAAGAATGGAAGGGGAGGCGGGACCAGATTGACAAACTCTGACAAGCCAAATTCGAAGTGATGACGTTGAAGATGAACAACGGATAGCAGTCACCCAGTAATAGACAATTGATTGAGATGGGTGGATGCTATGGATAGATCTGCAGCAGGGAGAATGAATACCTCGTTGTTCAACACGGTCTAAAAGTAAAGCAAGAAAAAAGTGTCCCACTTCATACGTGGCGTATTTGGATCTCGGGAGATGCAATGGATCTTCTTAAACGCACATGGTGCGGGTTACCAATTCGGTTGATCAGCTTATATCTAAGACATAAACACCAACGCACACACAAAAGTGTGACAGTAGCTAAGTCCCAATTCCAACACAGTCGATTGCCGCTCGTCAGTTCATTCATATACTTGTACCCAGGAAGTACATTTTCGACACAATAACCTTGTTTGCATCACCTGACGAGCGGCAAGGACCGCGAAAGCGGTCGTGTTCTTCCATTCATTCACATACTACTTATGATGAAATATTCTATAAAGACTATCAAGTCACGTTTGTTGCGGTTAGTAGCGTCTAACCCACTTACAAAAACATTGAATCATAGCATTGGTTCTTCAGTGAACTGACTCTGAATGAGCTGTCTGTCCAAACGTCATCTGGTGATGCAAACATGGCTATTATGTCGAAAATATACTTCCTGGGTACAAGTATATGAATAAACTGACAAGAGATTACCGGATACGCATGCCTGACGAGCGGCAAGGACCGCGAAACCGGCTGTGTGCTTCCAGGGAAATTTTGCCCAGTTATTCACATACTACTTATGATATAAAGTTGTCGAAAATGAGCTCGTTCGCTACTCGTGTTGTTCTGTCAATGTCACGATAAGAATTTTCACTGGATTCCTATTCTCTTTGCAGCGCATTGAATCTTTGGTGCTCGTGCGCGCGCGCGCGCTCTCCAAACACAATCGAAATGATAAAGCCGAACATTTCCAATTTACCCGATGGACCGGATTATGATCAGATTGGTTCGTCCGAATCGGACGCAAAACTATGCTCCGTAGAGGCTGAGGCAGCAATCACAGAAGTCGCGTTTGGTGTGAAAGAAATCCGGTTAGCCTCGGACAAACTGCCCTGCACAGATTCAATTGCCTATCTGAATCTGACCACTCTGGAGGGTGAACCAATGTGTGTGGAAATCAGTGTGAAAGGATTCTGCCCGGTTGGTCGACGGTGAGTGATCAGTCGCATCCGTGCTTGTCTGCATGAATACACTTTTCCGCGGCCGTTCACTCGCACCTCCTCCCGACGAAACTGTGTCCAATGGGAATGGGTGAGCACCCTTCACAAACCCGTCTATCACTCTTGGTCGATCCGGTTTGAAAAAAAAACGCAGTTTCCGTTATCAAAATTGTAGCAGTCTGCTGTACGCTTTGTCAGCCATAAGTAGTCGGTTGAATTCTTCTCATGTGTCTCAAAAACCGAAGCCCGAAGCGCTCATCCAGACCAAATGTATTTTGTCTTCTTGCAATGATAAACAATTGTTCTTTTCACGAGCAGCGAAAGATCAGCACAAAGTGACCGGCCTTCCCTAACACAGACAGACAGACAAAAATGAATCAACAGGGTGTGTGGACGGGCTTGTGAGGTGTGATCATCCATTGGCACTTGAGACACAGTTTCGTCTGATAGAAGTGCAATTGAACCGCAGCCGAAAATTCGAAACTCAGCAACAGTGTGTTTTCGTCTTAGTGAATCACTCGGTATCACCGAATCTTGTCCCATGGGACATTTTTCAATGATTTCAATCAAGAGACAATTGTGACCTGGTGCGAACATCTATTGGAAGCACCAGTGGAAAGTACGTTCGTTCTCCGATGGAGGACCGTGCTGTATTGGTAGCCTTTGATTCCGGATTTGCTTTATTTAGAAACTTCAGTATCGAAAAAGTATGTTGTTAATTTTAGTGAAAGTTCATCCATTCGAATTTTGTTTGGACACTTTGGCTCAATCGATGAGAGTGCAACTCCGTAGCGGAAAAAAGTGTTTGCTCTGTTTATTCATGGTGACCATTCACTGAGTCTCTAAGTCGTAGGGTACACGGCGTTTGGATTTAAACACTGACTTGGAATCTGGTACCAGTGGAGCTGAGGCACAGAACTTTGTGCAATAACGAAGACCTTCTTGGAATACGCATGCGAATTTTTTGGTTTCAGTGATTGTGTCCCATCAGCAATCGAGGATGAACACATGTTCTGCATTCAAACATGATGTCATACCTCGTTCATGGGAAGATTACCTAATCCGAAACTTTCAATCTAATCAAGATCAAGGTTGGGGCGGGGGGTCACAACCGGTTCCTTTTTATGATTCTTGTGTTTTCCGATTACTACAAATCTTCCGGACTGAAATGTTACAATTGATTTGCCCAGTCAATTTGAGTTCAGTCCTTGACTCATTTTTCACTTTTTTTTTAGTTGATTTGGTGACTTTTAGCTTCAATACGGTTCCATGTTCTTCTGCAGATCAGAATGTCTGAGGTTGTGTCTATCTGCAGTTTGGCTGATTTACCATTGATGAGCAGGGTGAGGAACTTCTTCTTTCGCTGGCTATTTGTTTGAAAAACCACAACAATTGAGCGTGCTTCTGAGAATCGTTTGTTTAACTTTCTGTTGATCAGTTTCTTCTCGTTAGTTGAAATGTGTCTCGTTGACAAACAACATTCTTCCTTGTGACCCCGTTTTGCTGCACTTATGACGGATGTGTTTTTTGAAAGGACCTAAGCGTTTCAATGTCATTCGCCATACCACCAACAGACAGAGGATGGTGTACCTGTTTGGGAAGGAGGGGGGGCGTTTCAGAGATTTCGAGTTAGTCACTGATTTCCGATTCCTTGGGCAATGTGTTGAATTGATGTCCGTTGTGGAGGTTCAACCAATGCCATGTGCCTCAGAGATAGAGACAGACAGGCAGACAGAGAGAGAGAGAAAAAGGTTGCACTCGGTCAGAGGAAACTCCAGCTTCATATTCGGGCACTGATCAAGTCTGGATAGCAAATGGATTCGAATTTCACCATCTTCTGGGTTTTGCATTTGAATTAGTCCTCGTTCATTGAGTGTAGTTTAACTCGTTCGCGCACCGTTCTGCATCCCATTTGACAATTTTGAGACACTCGTATCGGCTAATGCATAATGTAACGAAAGATTTCGGACATTTGTGCCGCTGCCCCATTAAACTTTTAAACCCTTGGGTTTTGGAAAAATATAGCCCGCATGTCCGGAGTGTTCGCTGATACCAAGCTTCCAGGCAAATAATATTACCTTGCACGCATCGTCGTGACAAATGAAATCTGATCGGAATGTGTTCTCCCAGCGATTGAACTACACATCGAAAATGGGACCATCTTGAGAATCATAATTAAATTCTGTGCTCGAATCGGCAGGCATTTCAAGCAGAACTGAAGGGAAAGTCATGCAAAGTGGGATCTGGTGCTCACAGGCCGAACCGCTGCGTCAAAGATTCGATCAGTTTGAGTCGGTCTTCCATCTGCTTCTGTTGCTGTAACAACAGGCATTAGAACTGACCTGTCGAAAAATTCATTGAAATTTCCGATCTTACTGTCCCCGATTTGTTGTATCTGTTACCGAATGTTGTCCCACGAAACGTTTTCCAACAAATGCAACCAAAATAAATTGTAAAACAACGCAAGGCTCCAGAAAAGTGTGTTGGATAGTAGAGAAGTGTGCTGTATTTACAGGGTTGCGCAATGCCAAAAGTTTTCTCCAGTGGAGACTACGAGAGCACAGATGGCGCAAATGGACCAATAAAATAGTCCTATTCTTTCTAGTTCTTTGATTTTTACCATCCCGGTAGCATCCAGAAAACAACGATAATTTCCCCTAACCGCGATTGATTCAAATCCAGTCCCCCGTTGATTCCTTAAGATTTCCCTGAGAAGATTAGGTTTTTCCTGACAGAGGCAAGTGGGGAAAGGGAAGTGATGTTAGAGAAGGAAGAGACACTGGATGTGAGAATGAGGTCAAGGGTGTTGTGGTCACGATCACCAATGCGATCGGGGATGCGTGCGAAGAGGTCAGCTAGTTGACTGAGGTCACAGCAAAAGTCTCGGCTTTGCATCTCAACTATGATCAAAGTGTCTGAATACTGAATCAGCCATTCCGTCATGTGGACATTGAGTTCTCCAACAATGCCACTTCCACTGTTTGGTATCTGCCGGGAATATCAGACATTATTCGGATCATTGCGGATCGGGGGCAGGGGGAGAGCAGTTGCGGTGAATGGTGCGCAAAATAGTGATGGAATCGAAGTCTCAGTCACACGAACTGGAATTCACGATTTGAGAAATCGAGGTGAGAATGTCAGCACAATGATGAACACAGGCGCAGACACCAGTCTCTAGAGAAAAAAATAAGAATGGGGGAAGATAATTGGGGAATCGTTAGATGAGTAGTGTCTGACGAATAGGAGGGTTGTGTTTCGGTCAAAAATAAAGCCATGGGGAAGAAGATCAGAGAAATTGGTTTACCGAATCAGTGCTTCGATTCAAGTCACGAGTGGTAATGTAATCAATTAGAGAGAGATAGCGCGCGCGAGAGAAAGAGAGAGAGAGAGAGAGAGNTGTTCACGTTCTGTGCGAAAATACGCATGCGATGCTTCAATTTACTCGTACTGTTCACGTATGATGAGAGATAAAACTGACAACCCAACCGTGAGACTTCTAGTGGTTAATCACATAAGGCCTCAATGAGTTGGACGTCATAGTCAGCCGGGCAACACCGATCGCCTGATTACCGCCTGTGGGGGATGTCATTGTACTTTGGCGAAATAGATCAGAAGTGTGTCAGAGATGATTTGAAAGAATGTGGCCATTACCGAGCTGTTTGTTTGTTCTGTGAAACTCGAGCGATCAGTCAATGGAATTCTCGCACAATATGGGTCATATTCTAGTGTCCGTAACACTAGAGAACTGGAAACTAGAACATAATTTTCTGCTGATCGTTCAGTCGTTGTCTCCGATGTTTACCGGTTCGAGAGATCTGAGGCTGGAATTCTGCCAACTACCATTAATGATAGGTAGATGCCACTTCACCCAGCCCAACAATACGTTCATCATGGTTGAACCCAGTCACAAGGTAATTCGGAAAACTGTCCGAAACAAACCACCTACTATCAAAGAAGAGATCGGTAATATTTGAACGACCCACAAGATTCAACGAACACCACCACAAACCGCCAAACACTAAAATGCAGGTAGTTGTTGTACAGGGCTGAATTGATCTGGAATTTGGACCACTAGTGCACACCAACCCTGTTTTCAACGTGAATCTGACTTACAAAATGTTTGAAGAATTAGTCCTGGAATTCGATCTCCCCCAGATGTTGTGTGCCTCCATAAGTCTAGTTGGTATATCTTGTTATCATATCTGTCAAACTATACACTCGCTGGATGCTCCCAGTGGACCTACATTAGTTTTAATATCTCTGAGATGAGCTAACAGTAGTACTTACTTACCCCTCTGTTCTTCTGTTCCATCTATTCCCTTAAACTGAGCAATTTTGTCCTCTGATTCACCTGTTCCACCCGTAGCTATGATCAATCGGAACCGGATTCGGAAGACCCTGTCACTTCCGAATACTATGAGACAATCTACGCTTTGCTGTCTGCTCGAAGTCGTCTGTTCCGCGATCAGTTCTCCAAACGACTATCCGATCGACTACGTGAGTTAGGGAATCGAAAGTCCACGGAATTATCGTAACTGAATTGCAAGGTCCACACACACATCCACATTCTATGCACTGATTTACGTGTGTGTGTGTGTGTGTGTGTGTCTGTGAGTGATCGTTTTCAGCTCACTCGAGAAACAAGCAGACTAGATGTGTACAGTGCTTGTTGAACTGGACTGATATAATTTGGCCAGAAGACATACCGACACACACACACACGTGCATGGACATACCGGCGCCAACCGTGATCTCTTACAAACAAGTGACTATGCATTGCGCTCCTCTTTCCCTGCGTTCTTCCCGGTTGCACAACACCATCTTTGTACGTCTTCCATTCCTTCATCTCCACAACCGTCCCGAACGAATTGACAGTTTCACTGATGTGGATAATTTTACCGCTCCGACTACACCCTCCATTCTAGCTGGACGAACACTTATATTATTATCGTCATCCATGCCATTTTCCCTTTATGTTTCTGCTCTTCTTGTTGTTGTTGTTATTGTCTTTGTCGTCGTCTTCTTCTTCTGTGTGAATACTCGCTTTGATTTTCCCACTGCCCGCTCCGTTCAGCACCCATTCCGACACATTCGGTCGTTTTACGGGACGCGTATGTGCACGCGCATTATCATTATGGTCGTCATTGTCATTCTCATAATCCTCATTACCTTGGCAACTATATGATAAATGTTTGTGTATAAAGTGAAATAATAATGATATTCATCCTAATTTTACCTTCTTTTGGATCACATGTGGTTTTGTTCCATACACTGCTGGTTTGTGGTTCTGAGCGAGAGAGAGAGGATAAGTCAGTCGGCTTCGTAGATTTCTCTGTTGGCTGCGCTGCCATGCGCGTTGTGATCCGTGACATGATTTGCGTGGCTTCATGTGCTGCACCAGTCTCAAACTCTGAACTTTTTTATTACACTTTAGGGTAGTGAACAACAGACTGGGTAAACCTCATATTCACGAGGAGCTGTTGTTCACTGATGAAAACCGGTAACTTAAGACCCGGTACTTGGAGTGGCGAACCACACATCAAACCCCCACTAGGTTAGGCGTGGTATTGAACCGGACGACAGCAAAGCTGCCTACCACCAAAGTTAGCTGGCGGTGGCGGGGCTCGAATCTGGGACCATAGGGTTCAAAGCACGTCAGTGTCAGTGACGAAACCGCTGCTCCGCTACTGCAATTTTATTAGGTCGGTGTAGTCAGGTTTTGTACTGTGGCAAACTAGCTCATGAACGGTGCCGCTTAGCGTTTCCTCCTCTTCGTGGCTTCCGAGGCGACGTGTGTCAAGACGTTTTGCTGAAAATACTGTGTGTTTTATTGTTTTGTGCAACTT